ATACAGAAAGATATTTTTCTGCTTTTCTCTGCTTTCAGCCAATATCTGTGTGACATCAGCAGTGACATCACTGCTGACACGACCTCTTCTATACCCAGCTGGAACTTCTGGTAGTTCCCTGTCAATGTACTTTTCCAGCTGTTTTTGGATGATCTTCAGCAATATTTTGCTTGCATGGGATATTAATGATGTTATTAGAGAATTTGCATGTTCTGCTGTATTACCTTTCTTGAGAATGCAAACAAATGTGGATCTCTTCTAGTGTGTTGGCCAGGCAGCTGCCCTCTAAGTTTCCTGGCGTAGACTAGTGAGCACGTTTAGGGCTGCATCTGTTAGTTGAAACATGTCAATCTATATCCCATCTATTCCAGGGCCTTGTTTATTGCCAGTGTCTTCAATGCAACTTGAACTTCTTCCTTTGTTAGCATTAACTCCTGTTCATGTGGTTGTTTTTGTTGTTAGGTGCTATCAAGTACAATACAACTCATCGTGATCTTACGAACAACAGATCTCAACCCTGTTCTCCTGTGCCATCCTCACACTTCCTGACCCATTAGAGCTTATTGCAGCAGTCACTGTGTCAGTCCACCTGGTTGAGGGTCTTTCTCTCTTTGCTTGCCCTCCACCCTTCCTAGCATCATGTCCTTTTCTATGTCCCATATTTGTTTGTTCTTTTGGCTGTCCATGGGATGTTCAGTGATATTCTCCAACACCACAGTTCAAAGGCATCAATTCTTCTATCATCCTTATTCATTGTCCAGCTCCCAGATGCAGAGCATGTGATCGGAAAGACTATGGCCTATATCAGGTGCACCTTAGTTCTCAAACTGATGTCATTACTCCTCAGTAATTTGGAGAGGTCCCTAACTGCAGATTTCCCATTGCAATGCATCTACTTATTTCCTGACTGCTGGTACGGTACCAAGGGTGTTAACTGTGGATCCAAGCCGGATGAGAAGCTGTTGACAGTTTCAATCTCTTCTCCATCCATCATGACACTGCCTATTGGTCCAGTGGTAAGAATCTTTGTTTTCTTGACATTGAAATGCAATCCATACTGATGGCTGCATTCCTTGATCTTTTACAACAAGTGCTTCAAGTCCTCCTCACTTTCAGCTAACAAGGTTGTGCCTGCATAACACAGGTTATTGATGAGTCTCCTTCCAATCCTGATATCACACTCCTCTTCATTGAGTCCAGCTTCTCTAATAATTTTCTCATCATACAGTTTAAATAGGTATGGAGAGAGTATAACACTGATGCACTCTCTTCTCAGTTTTAAAAGATGCAGTGTTACCCTGCTCTGTTCATATAACAGCCTCCTGGTCTAAGTATAGGTTTCACATGAGCACAATTAAGCGCTCCGGGACTCCCATTCTTCTCAGTGTCCACCACAATTCATTATGATCCGCACAGTCAGATGCCTTTGCATAGTTAATAAAGCACAAATAGACATTTTTCTGGTATTCATTATTTCAGCCAGGATCCATCTGACATCAGCTATGGTATCCCTGGTATCAGGGCCTCTTCTAAATCCTGCTTGAACTTCTGGCAGTTCACTATGTATGTAGAGTTCATGATACTTTCTGAAAATTTTCAGCATTGACCAATTTTTTGGAAGGTGCATGATTCTGTGCGTTTCTTCCATCTTCTTTTGATGGTTCCTAAGTCATTCAAGATTTTGCCCACAGCATCTCTCAGTATTGCAACATGATGCTTGAATTTGTTTTTCAGTTCTTTTAACTTGAGAAATGAGTTCTCCCCCCTTTATTCTCTGCCTCCAGCGCTTTGCACAGTACCTTGTAATACTTTATTTTGTTCTCTTGAGCTACTTTTTGAAATCTCTCCAGCTCTTTTACTTTGGTATCTCTTCCTAAAAGGGAGGAATTTGCTGTAAATAAATGGACAAAACGAAAAAGAAATAAAAATATGATAAAAGTTTTCCTCAAGTTTATAAATATTTATCATTTATCTTCTGTATTTCATGTAACAGATCTTTTTCAAATCATCTTCTGGTAATATGGCAATGGTATTTTGAGAGTAACCATTCAGAGTACATTGTTGTTGTTAAGTGCCGTCAAGTCACAGGCGACTCATAGCGACCCTATGAAGGAGAGTCCTCGATGCTTGGGTGCCTTTCATCCTCTCTCCAGGTTCATAGGGTTTCTGGAGGCAAGCTATTATGGAAGGGGATGCCACTCCTCCTTCCAATCAGAGTACATTACAGATAAAAGTAATATGTTAAATGTAGTTATGGTAAGCTCTTTGAAAGCCAAACTGCCACCAATTTTCAAACTATAAATAAAATAACTACTAAATGGTCTAAAAGGATATGTTATCAAACTACATTGATTGGAAAAAACACAATAAAGCCTTGCTCAGATGAAAAAGCATTGACAGTAATAATGGGGATGCACTTTGCAACAATACAGTAATTTATTTAATGAAAAATACAGTTGCATGTGCAAAAACTGAGCTGGTATCCAGTAGAAATGGAGCTTTGTCTTATGATTGGAAATGCAGTCATGGTTCGACTCACCATTTTGCTTGTTTGATGTCAACATCAAACCAAATATTCTATGAATATTTTTTATTTATATCATGGTTATTTCTTAAACAATTGTGCAAAATTGACAGTTGTTGTTAAGTGCCATTAAATCAACTCATAGCAGCCCTCTGAACAGATGGGAACCCTGCCCGACCCTGTGCCATCCTCATCATCTCTGACACACTTGAACCCATTCACTGTGTCAACCCATCTGGTTAAGAGCCTTCCTCTCTTTCACTGATACCCCGCCTTTCCAAGTTCAATGTCCCTCTCTAAGGAATAGTCTCTCTTCACAACATGCGCAAAGCATGTGAGACAAAGATTTGCCGCTTTGCCTCCAAGGTGCACTCTGGTTGAACTCTCTCCAAGATAGAAGAGAAGTTTGATGAAAGTACTGTTATCTTAGCATTTATCAAGGCAGAGGTACCAAAGTATACTAGAAGTCATTGCCACACTTTTTTTTTTTTAAATAAAGGCCTTACTCATAGCTCTTGAGTCAGAACCAACTCATAGCTGATCGTCCTTTGGATTTCCAAAGTTGTAAATCACACAGCAAGAGATTGCCATCGCTTCTCTGTAGAGCTTCTGGCGGACTCAGATTAGAAGAGAGGCTTAACCTTTGGGTTAGCCGGCTGTATTTAAGAGTGTCCTTCATGATCAATTCTATTAGCCATGAGTACACACTTTTTGAACATTGTGTGGTGATTGCCACATCTTAAAGTGAGCTGGCTGTCTTTTGGGTCAGTACTTGAGTGAATGTTTTGAGTTATAAGCTGAACTGGTCACTTTTTTAAAAATAAAATGCTTGAAAGTGTGTCTCAAAAAATGTTTAAAATGTAGTAAGTCTGTCTCTAGGGAGGATGGGAAATTTGTTTTAGAACCAGCAAAGCAAGCTGAGTGTCTCAAATTTACCTTTTGTGAGATAGCTGCTTGAGTGTTGGCTGCAGACTGAAGAAAATCAAGCCCCACATATGTGTCTGCCCATAAGGTATTAGACCTTCTGAACTTCAGGATGGCAGAATTGATTTGATGATAAATTGTGGTAAAGCTGACAACAAAAAGGACCTAAAACTAATTCAGATCCATTGCCATCAACGTGGTTCTGACTGAAGGTATTACAGAGTAAAACTCATAGGGTTTTCTTGGGCGTAATCGTTAATGGAAGCATACTGCCAGGTCTTCTGCAGCACCACTGGGTAAGACTGAACCACCAGCCTTTAGGTTAACAGTCAAATACCATTTGCACCACCCACAGACCTTAAAAGAGGAGCTAGGCTTATAAAAAATAGAATCTTTGAAGAAATGAGTAAACGTAATAAAGTTTTAGATAGAAACCTTCCTGAAGAGACATGGCAATAAAGTAGAAATTATTCACAGCTTACTGAGTACTTCTGGTAGCCTTTTTATCTTAACCATTTGATTTTTGAGTGTAGCTTGTGCTAAAAATAACCTGAATATTAGCACAAGATTTACAATGCAGTACATTATTTAATCTGGAACATATTTACACTCTCAGGTGGTATGTGAACAAATTACAACAGTCCTTGTTAAGATTTAAAAGGTTGGCAGGGCTTGTAATGTTTATGCATATAGAATAACCTGTGCTGTTACATTAAATCTCAGTTGGTATCAGCACTATTTGATTTCAGTTCTAAATTTCTGGATGGCCTTTGTTTGCCTGGATTTGTGGGAGCAGCCTTTCATCCTGCTGTCCTAGGGTCTGGTTAACAGTGGGTACTTGGCTAACTTTCTATTGATATACTAAAAAGCTGTTTACTTTGATTCATGAATAAAAAAATATCTTTATTCACAAGCAAACAAATCTTACTGTTAATTTCAAGGTCGTTATTATATTTGAGCTTTGAGGCTTTGATGGGCTAGAGTAAATGGTTATATACCTCTGTTCTCTTTTTTTAAGTCCAAAATTCTGTTTATTGAGGTAATTTCCCATTCCCCTGGATTCAGCGTGTTTTTCTTAATGCTGCTTCCATCTGAAGGAGCATCCTTCTGTAAGCCTTGCTTTCCCTCCTGTAGGCTGACAGAACAGTACAGCCACCAACACACAACACCACTGTTAGTGCATGGCTGAAGACGGTGGTGATTTTACAGCATCCTGGGCATCTCACATCCATAAAATAGAAATGTGGGCTCTGCACCAGGTGCTTCTTGTGTTTCCTCTTCTCTTCTGGAGAGGGATGAAGGAGATCCTTTGTGAGAGGCATGTTGGAGGAGATCCTCTGTTCCTTTTTAAAATTTAATATTTAGAACATTTCTAAGAATGTTTTTTTGGTTGAAATAGACACAGTAAGACCCACTCCCACTCCAAGTTTCTGTATAAATGACCAATGACAGTGTTTTTACATTCTTCATGCTGTATCAACATTCTCTTTATTTCTGTTCCAGTTGTTCCTGTGCCTTTGACTTGAACTCCATACAGCATATTTGGAAGAGAATGCCAGTCGTCAAATTGCTGAGTCAGGCTGCGTGCCGGATCCTGCTGAGCCCCACATGCTGCTGTCGGGCATCTGTGGTACCCATCAGATTTCTGGGCTTCTCCCCTCGGCAGGTCCCAGCGGATGCCAGCTTCCACTCTATCACGTTTTCCAAGACAGACCACCCCCGTGTCCTGATTACAGGTGTGTCTTTCCCTTTTTCCACATTTGCAACATGAGTCTGAGTGTGCGTGTGTGCGTGTGTGTGTGTGTGTGTGTGTGTGTGTGTGCTGACTGTATGTGACTGTGCTTTTGCAATGTGCCTTTAATGCTTGTCACTCTTGTATATAATTCAGGAAAAACAGGTTTGACTAGACCTGTCTCCAGATTGTATGCTTATTTACTAGACTGTGAGAAAGATGTCAGAATGTTGTATTTAGTAATATCAACAATTTCAACAAGAATATCTGACATTAATTAACCTGAAACCACCTTTCCTAGTGTTTCTTTTCTCCAGAGTATTGCAAATCTCAAACCCTTATATTTAATTTGCTGCCATAACTTTTTAAAATTTTATTTTTATGAAAGTTTACAGAGACTTTGGATTTCCATTCATTCATTGTTGTACTTTTCTCCCTACCCACCCTTCCCCGCACCGCATTAGTCCTTCTTTTTGAAAAGTAAAAGGAAAAATTCTTTCATTGTTATTCAATCCCTCCCACCAAGTCCACTCTTCTATGCTACTTCATTCTGGACTCCTATCATGACAATAATACCTAATCATTCATCCCTTGAGTTTTATTGTCTGGAAAAGCCTGGAAATTTGAGGACCAAATAGCTGCTTTTGGAGTTGGCTTCCCTTCCATGTTGGGAGTGGCTGGGCCAGGCATGGACAGCATGGAAGCATTAGAACACGTAAACTCAGTGCCATTCATTCTGAACATTCACTGTGGACTCTTGTGACCTAGAGGGTAAGGAGTTGCTCTGCCAAACGCAATAGCAAGTGGTTCAAATCCACTAACTACTCTGTGAGATAAAAATGGGCAGTCTCTTCCTGTGCAGTTAACTGCATCTGAAAACTCCCTGGAGGGTCAGCCATGAATTAGTTCTGACGGTTGAGTAGTATGTTGGAATCTGAGCTGTTTCTGACAGCTGTGAGGGACATTCTTCATGTTGTGTCCATGATCTCCTTGTTTCTCGCCACCACAGATTAATTTCTCAGTACTCCTTGCCCTACTCACACATAATGCCTGGCTTCCTCCGGCTAGTGGCAGCATCCTTATGTTGGCCTCAGAGTTGACAGACATGCTTTATTTCCCTCTTCCTTCCTGTTGGGCTTTCTTCCCACCTCACTGTCTCTCGTGCCTCACAGTTTCTTTGTGTGTTACTGCCTCCTGTTCTTTTCACACTGTATGTGACCTGCAAGGTGCCTCATTTCCTACTCTCACCCACTCACATTGTTGTCTGTGTGTGAGTTTTATTTTCGCCCCACGTCCACCTGCTGACGCATCTTCCAAGGTCTGAAGGATCTTTGTTTAATGCCATATGAACAAATGCTTACAGGAAATCCTGATCGCTAGGCCTTCCTGCTCCAGTCAAAGGGAATTGACTGTTGTACTCTCTCCAAGTGAGCTCCTGAGTCTTCAGCTCTCCTGGTTCTATCTGTGGCATCATTCAGCCTCTACATTGGAGTGCTATATTATTATTATTTTGTTTTCTTAATGATTCCTTGTCTGTTCAGTTATATGTCTTTTTTTCCTTTTCCCCCCAGATGATAGGTTTGTCTCCCCTTCATGTCCCAGTCCAGTTCTATTGGAGGATGGGGTTCTGGATAATCCGTCAGAGGTTAAGATCTGTCTTATTACCTAGTATTGCCTTGATAGGAACACCGCAAGTGGGTGGCTTGAGAGAATAGGGATTTATTTCCTCACACTCCAGGAGACTGGATGTCTGAATTCAGTGCACGAGTCTAGAGCAAGGGCTTCCTTTGTTTCTTTCTGCCTCTAGAGCTGCCGACAATTCTGCTTGACTGTTCTTTACTTGGTTTCTTTTCCTGTCTTTGCATCTCTTTCCGTTTTGATAGCATCTCACACAAAGTTGACTAGGTTTAGAACCCATACTACTCCAGCTTGGCCTCATTAATATGACATAAGTGAACCTCTATTTCTAAAAAAAAAACAAACCCTAGAGTCAAATTGATTACAACAGAGTAAGAACTGAGTCATAGTTAACCCCCCAGCCAGTTTTCAGAGGCTGAAGATTTCATGGGAGGATAATGCTTATCTTTCTCCTGTGGAGAAGATAGTGGATTTATGGCCTGCTCATAAGGCCACCGGAGTTCTCTAAGAGCAGTCATATTTATAGTTAAGAAGGTTAGGGAATCTTCAATCCATTAATTGTATCAATCCACTTATGTTTGCCTTTGAATGTTTTTGGCATTTGGAGTCGACACACTTTATAAATACTGCTTCAGAATGATGAAGTCTGTGTTTGAATTCCTGACCCATGGAGCCAGGAGCTTGTTTGGCTTCCTTGTGGTTTTTTCTTCAGTGGCCGTGTTAGCCTCCTTCCTCTCAGCCTTTCCATTCTTTATTGATCTCTAAAATCTGTTTTGATCTCTATACTAGCTTAGAAGAGGCAATTCCATGTTCTGATCACTATGCTCTGTGGCTTAGAAGTACAAAAGGAAGCAATAATTATATCAGGTCCCCCTATGCCTTTCTTTTCCTGACTAGCTAAGAATTAAAAATAATCTAATTATGATATTCTGGGACTAATTAGAAGTGGTTAAAATCTGCATAACAATTTACTTTTCTTTTTCCATGTAGGAGGTCTTGGCCAACTTGGAGTGGGGCTTGCTAATGTTTTGAGGTAAGAGCTCCAAAATTCGAGACTTAAAATGCAAGTTCTTAACATTGTGAAGTTTTTTTTTGGCCTCTTTTAGCTCTGTCCTCTCCCTTTCTTTTTAAGATAGCATATCTAAATGACTTTTAAAAATACATGTTAATTCTGCCTTATAAGGTCAAGGCATGTCACTTGCCCTTGATTTAATGCATCTCACCCTTATCCTTCCCTGCCCCCCCCCCTACTTTCCTTCCTCCTTAGGCAAGATGAAACATGTATTGAATAGAATTGTATAGTTTATGTTTGGCCACAGGGAAGTACATGCAGAAACTATGAACAGTATGAAATTTTGAGAGTTGATAAAAGGGTAAAAAGAAAAGAGAAGAATGTGGAGGGGAAAGTAAACACTCCAGAAATAAAGGGATGAAATTGTTGATAAATATAGGTATGACAATGGAACGAGAGTAAAAAATGGTGTTGTAGGTAGAAAATGCAAGGCTTGGGTATAGTGAGAACTAAATGTGTGGGTACTGAGGAAGATCAGGAAAGTGGGAAGAAAGATACAAAAAAGATGGATTTGGGGATGGATAAGACATTCATAAAACCACTCATTTCTCAGTGTAATTACATTCCAGGGACCAAGTTTTATGCAAAATTGGTTTTATGTAAGAAGGAGTCAGACTTGGGTGATTCCAGAGCCCAGACCCTTGGAAGGGCTGTGCCAGCACCACTATGCTCTGGACCCCAAGACCCTGCTGTTGGTGCTGGTACTTAAAAAGACTTGGGGCCTGGCAGCTAGATGATAGGCATTGTTGGTAGCTTTGAGATTTGCAACCAACAGTGCTGAGGGTCCAGGTGATCATTTGAGACTGTGGCTCTGTACCTGTGTTCCCTCTAGCTCCAGATGCCTGCTCTTATCCCGTCACACAGACGGGGATCCTACAGATAAGTGCTGTGCTGCTAGTTTTAGCAGGCTCGGGATCAGAGGCCAAGTTTAGAGATTAACAGATTCTCAGAAGCCTGGGCTACAGAGGAGGAAGGGGCAACTGGCCACAGACCCTGTGCCTTCAATATCTTTTCTGTTGCAAGATTTGGTTCTTCTGGGGTGCTTGAGTAAAGGGGAGGGACAGCAGCAATCTTCCCTGTCTGCCTCCTTGCTGCTTCTGTCTGCTCTAAGGCCCATTTCAAAAGACTTATCTCAAAATCTGCTTCAGTTGCCTCTTTTGTGGGAAATACCTCCAGGGTAGTTTCTCCAGTGGGGATGGGATGTGCCTAAGGCCTTCAGCTGCCTGTTTCAGCTGAGAGCCAGACAGAAGTGGGTGGGTCTGCATGTCAGGAGCTAGAGGCAGGGAGAAAACCCAAGTTAATATGGAAAATAGGGAGTAGATTTTTACCTATTGTTGTAGATGTGAAATGTCAAATAATGACATAGTTATTAAGTCATTAAGTGAGGAATAGGTGTCGTTGCTATTTTAAATTATTGTATTCACAGGATCATTTCTATCCTAGATATTGCCAACTTGTGTGTTTTGATTTTTCCTGTAGGAAACGGTTTGGAAAGGACAATGTCATCTTGTCTGACATAAGGAAGCCTCCTGACCACATCTTCCATAGTGGTAGGACATTAATATGCATTGATTTTATTCTTATTTTTCAGAAAGATGGTCCATGGAATCAGAGCGTGTAACATAACTAGGTTTGTAAGTTTAAAAAAAAAGATGTTATTGAGGTACAACTTTATCACTTTTTATCTTTTTAATTCCTGCAAAATCTTTATGGTAATAATGCACTGTAGGCTATTGACATAAGAACTAAAGACCTCTGGTGGGGGGGGTATTTTTTTAAACTTGAAGTTAATTTTTGGACTAATATAGACAATTTGAGTGAACTGCCATCCCAGACGCAGGTGGTTTGAATTCACCAGCTGCTCTGCAAGAGAAAAATGGGCAATATTCTCTCATGCAATTTACAGCATCAGCTATAAGTAGGTTCTGACTCAACAACAATGAGAGAATTAGCTCGAAGAGAACATGAACACATATCCAGGAATGAGAAAAAAGGAACATAAAACATGTAGAGGTATTTGAGCCTTATGTTTCAGTGTAGAAAGAGATCTAGTAGCAGTCACCAGTTAAGCACTCAACTGCCAACTGAAAGAGTGGTTCTAAATCACTCAGCTGTGCATGAGAGACACCTGACAGTCCACACCCATGAAGATAGCAGCCAGAAAGCTAGGGGCGGTCCTGTTTTGTCATACAGGGTCACTGAGTTGAAATCAACATTACACGCTGGCACTTAATAGCATCAACTTCAATGCAGAATTACTGTTGCACCAAAACACCCTCCAACTCTTGTAGTCAAGATTCCTAGAGCCTCGAAAACCTTCGTGATATGTCCTAGTCCAGTCTGGTTCATTGTAAGCTTTTGCCATGTATGTGGTGAAAATTGGCATTTAACAAAATCGACTCACATCTAATGTAATTGGATATGTTGTTGTTATGTGCCATCGAGTCGCTTGCGACTCATAGCGACTCTATGTACAACAGCTCTACCCTCCGCTCTGTCCTGTGTCAATCTCATTGTCTCCAACACTCCCATCCCGATTACCCCAGTCACTGAATCAATCCACCTCATAGAGGGCCTTCCTCTCCTGCGCCGTCCCTCCACCCTCCCAAGCATGATGTCCCTCTCCAAGGACCAATCCCTCCTTACAATATGACCACAGTATGTTAGATGAAGCCTCAGAATCCTTGCCTTTAAGGAACCGCCTGCTTTAACGATTATCTATACTACAGGAGTGGGTGTTTATGTAAGCTCCATTTCTGTATTCTTTTTAAAATGTGCATCTTCTTTTAATTTCTTTTTTTAAAAAACATGCATCTTTTAAGTAGAGTTAAATCCCTCAGTTGCCATGAAGATGACTGAGAAGTGGACTCCATATGATTTTCAATGTTGGCATTAATAGCACCAACTAGGAGCTGACTCACTGGCTACTTGGACTGTGATCCCAGTTCTACTTGTTTTCACAATGTGGGAAATCACTTGCCATCCTTGTACCTCATCTGTAAAATGGCTCTACCTTAAAGGCTATTTGAGAGCATGATGCTGGGACAGATGGAGGGTCAATGAAGGAGAGAAAGACCCTCAACAAGGTGGACTGACACAGTGACTGCCACAATGGGCTCTAGTGTGTCAGGAAGTGTGAGAATGGTGTAGGGTAGAGCAGGGTTCAGATCTGTTGTTCATAGGGTCGCTAACGAGCCATGCTCAACTTGATAGCACATAACAATAAAAACTCTGTAAAAGTCAGCTATCACTAACTACAGTGAATCCAGTTGGTGCAATGGTTGACTGACAACCAAAAAAGTGATCACACTCTCCCAGAAGCTCCACAGGAGCCTAGAAAACTCTATGGGGTAGTTCTCCTCAGTCATGTGGGGTTGCTATGGTTCAATGACACTTGCTAGCACACTGTCAACTATACTATATGTAGTGTGTTAATCTGCTACAAGGAATAGTGTTGCCCGAGGTCCAAGTGGTTTTGGTTAGCAAGCTGCTATTAGTAGAATTTATAAGGCAAATAAAGGGAAATATCGTCTTTGGTTTTCAAACTTTTTTTTTTTAATTTCTCTGGTTTCATGTTACACCCCTTGTAGGCCCATTCATTTATTCTGATATTTTGGATTACAAGAATCTTCGAGAGATAGTGGTCAACAACCGGATCACCTGGTTGTTTCATTATAGTGCCTTACTCAGTGCAGTGGGAGAAGCAAATGTGTCTTTGGCAAGAGACGTGAATATAACTGGTAAGTGTCTGGATTTTGCCCACTACGATCTTGTCTTTTCAGTTCTTTGTTAAGGTTCTTTGTAGGGTCTGATAATGTCTGTTTACCTCAGGACTGCATAATGTTCTGGATGTTGCAACACAGCACAACTTGCGACTGTTTGTGCCTAGCACGATTGGAGCCTTTGGACCTACATCCCCTCGGAATCCAACCCCCGATCTCTGTATTCAGAGACCCAGGACCATCTACGGAGTAGCTAAGGTCCACGCAGAGCTCATGGGAGAAGTAAGCAGTGCTTGGCAAGACCGACTGAATGAACCTTGGATAGATCTGTTTGCAGCCATGCTGTCTCAAATACCTGTGTTGGGGGTACTTTCCACTCTCCCTCGACTCTCCCTCGACTCTCCCTCAGCTCATTGTGCTTGCCATGGGCCTATAGCTCCTGCAGAACTCCTCACCCTCGCTGTGGTGGAGCTGCCTTTTTCAGTCAGAAATGAATAATCATAGTCCTGCCTCAAGTCATGTCCTGCTCAAATGTTCTCCTTCACTTGCTGTCAGTCTCTTCTGGATTGTACAACCTTTTGGGCTCCCCAGCACTGAATATTGGTAATCATTGATGGTTATCATCCCTAACTGGCACAACCTATTTGCACTTGACTATTAGCCTGAAGAGGAGCGGTTCCGACCTAGCCAGTGGTGCTGCAAAAGAAAGGCTGATCTGTTTCCAAAAAAGACACAAAACCAAAAACCAAACCCACTGCTGCTGAGTCATTTATGACTCCTAGAGACGCTCCATCAGGCTTTCCAAGGCTTTATGGGAGATTGCACATCTTTCTCCCTTGGGGGTTTGAACTGCCCGCCTTTGGGTTAGCAGTAAGACACATAGCCCACTATGTCACCAAGGAACAGGCCTACTCTATAATTCTTGGGGCTGCCATGAGTCAGAATCAACTCTGGGTTTGAAGTGGTTATTTTTAAACCTTTTAAGATTAAAAATTGTAAAATATCTTCTTAGTTTCACTTTTAATACTCTTCACCCTTATAACTTTACTATAATTTTTAAATTGGAGCTTGACATTGAAATTACATTTCACAGATGTTTCTCTCTCTTGTTCCATGGTCCCCGTGGTTCTTCCTGCATTGCATTAACAAACTCACAGAGAATTATTTAGCGTTATAATTATCCGTTGGTCAGCTTTGGAAAGCATGCAGTACATCCCTTTCAAAGAAAGGTTGGAAATCACTACTACAGGCTTAATTAATATTTATAATGTTGGTGGGAGGGAGGGAAATTGTTACCTGAATGACGATTCTATTTTTTTAATTGAAATTTTAATGAAAGTTTATGGAGACTTTGGATCTCCATTTGTTTATTGTTGCACATTTTCCTCCCTGCCCACCCCTCCCCCAGCTGGTTTTTCTCTATGAAAAGTAAAATAAACACCCCCCCAGTCCAGTCCACTCCCCCATGAAGCTCTCATTCTGGACTCTTGTCATGAAAATAATACCTAATCATATATTCCTTTCAAACAGTTCTCTCCCTTATCTGTTTCAATGCAGTATGCATTATCTATCCCCTCATAGTTTTCCCCCAACCCCGATGTCAATCCCGTTTTACAACAGTGGCACCATGCAGTATTTATCCCTTTGTGACTGAGATGTTTCACACAACATAATATCCTCCAGGGTCACCCATTTTGTATAATATTTCATGAGTTCCTTGTTTTTCAATGCTGCATCGTATTCCATTGTGTGAATATACCAGAGCTTCTCTATCACTTCTTTTGTTGATGGGCACTTGCATTGTTTCTATTCTTTGCTGTGGTGAACAAAGCCGCAATGAACATGAGAACTGTGATTCCTAAAAGAGAAAAACCTAAGAAGGGTTGATTAAAATAAGTAACTTTTAGAAGACCTAGTTTTCATTTTCTTTAGAAGTATTTTAATATAATTTCAGGAAATGAGTGGTATTTTAGAAAGACTGTTTTCTTGTGTGGCTCTTACCTGGTTAAAAAGCCTGATTATTTAAATAAGTTTTGTTTTTTGTAGTACTATTATTATCGATATGGGTTAGATTTTCGATGCCTGAGATATCCTGGAATCATTTCAGCCGACTCCCAGCCTGGAGGAGGAACAACTGGTAAATGTTCTTTTTTATTTATCCCGTATATAATAAAACAGTGTTTTTCATTGCTAGGAAGGGTCTTCTTCATGGTGAATGAATCTGCTCCTTTTTGCCATTATCTTGACTAGAGAATTCACGTTCTCTTTATTTCTCATATGGGAGGTTGTCAGTGAATCCTTAAATTCCTAAGGGCAAAAGAAGTCTGAGTTTGCAAATCCAGTTTGACAATACCCAACCATGGTGTTGAAATTACACAAAATAATATTGGAGTGCAAAGCTATTACCCCCATATAGGAAGACATCAAACAAGAAGCCAGTTCTCTTTGAAGATTGCCTTTGCTTCTTAATACAAATGTGATTATTAAAATGGATTGAGTTGTATATGTAAAAGAAAATAATTTTTTTCGTTTCCTGATTCAATATGCATTATATTTTTATTATTTGATTTCTAAATTTTATATTGCTTTATATTAAAAAATCATGTACATTGTTGTGTTTCCCATAATCCTTAAATTACATTGTGTTTCATACAATCATTTATATACATTGTGTTATATAAAAATAATCATCATTGAACCATATCAACTATTACCCCATCTTTTCAGGTCCCCACTGCAGCTTTTCTGTTCCTTCCTCCCATCTACCTACCATAGAACATTGCTTTTGTGAACTGTTTTAGAGCCCAATTATTTGTTTTAAGTATTATTTTTTTAATTTGTGTGTGTGTGTGTGTGTATCATACTCTTCTTCATTCATATTGTGTTTCACACAATTGTTACCATGCATTATGTTTTATAAAATTAATCACCACTGGACCTGGTCTTTTCAGTAAATTCTCATCAGAAAGGCTGAAATGCAATATTAAAAATACTTGACAAAATCTAAGGGATTTTTAAAGGAAGATTTAGTATTGATTATTTTTGAAAAGCATATACCTTACTGTAGTATTTCCCAAAGTGTGTTCTTGGAATCCCTGAGACCCTTTCAAAGAATCAATGAAGATCTTTAAACCAAAGGTTTTGTTTATGGTTTTGGTGTAAGGCAGCTCACAGACAGGATTTTCTTTCAGACTACGCTGTCCAGATATTTCACGATGCTACTAAGAATGGAAAATTTGAGTGCAACCTGAAACCCAGCACAAAGCTCCCAATGATGTACATCGATGACTGCCTCAGGGCCACGCTGGAGGTCATGGAGGCTCCAGCTAAGTCTCTCTCCATGAGAACCTACAACATCAATGCCATGAGCTTCACCCCTGAGGAGCTGGCCCAAGAAGTTCTTAAACATGTACCAGAATTCCAGATCACATACAATGTGGATTCTGTTCGACAGGCCATAGGTTAGTACATCATTGCTGGCTCCCTCAAAACCCAGAGGAGGCTCTGGGCTTCACTGTGAGTCCTTTGTAGGCATCAGCAATGACAGGGGTATAAGGTGACAGGAACTAGGACACTCAGGCTGGTGGGCAGTTTTGGGTGAGTGAGGGACCTTTCCTCTCCTTAAATGAGCCAAAGGCAGCAAATGCTCTGATTTTGGAAAATGGTAGATTAAAGTGAGTGAGAGGGTTTAATTCCAAATAAACAGCCTGCCAGCTTTTACCCTCTTGTAACTTAAATATAAAACAAATTAAATTGGGGTATTATGAAAACAGTCCATTCTGTTGCTTTCACTGAATGACCTTGAGCACCTTTCTAAGTATATTTATTAATCTATAAAATAAGAGCTTTCCTGCCTAATAAAAGTATGTGACTTGAGGAAGCTCTGGTGGCGTAGTGGCAAGATGCTGTGCTGCAATCCCGAATGCAGGTGGTTCGAATCCACCAGATGCTCTGCTGGAGAAGGAGGGACAATCTTCTCCTGTGCCGGTTGGATCCGATTTGATGGTACACAATAAGGGGGGGAAAGAATGAGTTGTTAGTAATATGTAGAAATTTATTGCTGGCAGTAAATTTGTAATGCATATTGGCGGTTTTTAAAAAAATTATTATTTTAATGAAAAATTATAGACATTTAACAACTGTTCTAATCAGAGAAGGAATTTATTTTTTAGCACTTTGTAGAATAAACTTTTATATAAAGTGCCTTTCTGTAAATCTAGAGCCCAGATAAGTTATTGTTGTTATTGTTGTTTGTTACCATTGGGCCAATTCAAACTCATGGAAACCCCACAGGTGCAGAGTAGACTGCTCATAGACTTTGCAAGACTGTAACCTCTCAGAATTAGACCACCATCTGTCTTCTGAGGTACCTGTGGGTGGGCTTTAACTGCCAATCCTTAGGCCACTGGTTGAACACTTAACTGTTTAAGCCATCCAGAGACTCCTCTAACTTAAGCTACTCTTCTATATCTTTTCCTAGCGGATAGTTGGCCGATGAACTTTGATGACAGCAATGCTCGGAAGGACTGGGGCTGGAAACATGAATTTGATCTTCCAGACCTGGTGACCACAATGTTGAACTTCCATGGTTCTGACAGTCGGGTTGCCCAGGCAAACTGAAGGCCTCAGAAGGAAGAGCAGCTTATCCTGGACAGCTGCCAAGGGAAAACAATAAAGTTAATTATGTTTTAGACTACAAGGAATCTAAGTTACTTGTACTTGAAGAGCTAATTTGGCTGAGTTGGCAGTTTTTACTGAACTACTAAAATGGAGAATGTAGCTGGTGTTAAACATTTTTAAGATGCTTTCTATTGGGGCTTCTAAATCTTTGACATCTGTTTCAATGTGCTCTAATATAGAATGAAGGCAATAATTTGTATTTCCTTAATTAAGATGAAATTCTTTTTGGGAAAGTGAAAGTATATGATATTTGTATCTAACTAAATATAATTACATGTGAGTCAGAAGTTTTCATTATTCTTTTTTTACTCAAGACCAAAGATTACATTTTAGAGACATTTCAGGATAATCTTTTAAATTCAAAAGTATTCTTTGCCCTTCTATGAAAACAACCAAAAAATACCTTCTATATTAATACTATGTTCATAATGTTCAAAATATCTTAATACTTCTGACATTAAGAATTATGACTTCTTATTTTTCTGTATGAAAAACTGTAGGAAATTGAGACTATCAAGAATGATCTAACCAATACATGATAGCTCCTCTGCTATTCTTACTGCTCTTCTTTAAAACTGAGGTATGTGGTAACTCCACACCACCACCAATTGCCAACACTAATTAATGATGACCCCATGTTTGTCAGAGTAAAACTGTTCCATAGGGTTTTTTCTAACTTTTAAAAAAATTTTAATGAAAGTTTACAGAGACTTGGGATTTCCATTCATTCATTGTTGCACATTTTCCTCCCTGCCCACCCCTCCCCCCAGTTCGCTTTTCTCTTTGAAAAATTTAAAAAAAACCTATTTTATTGTTATACAATTCCCCGCTCCCCAGTCCACTCCACTATGCAGCTTTCATTCTGTACTCTTGTCGTGACAATAATATGTAATCATACTTTTCTCCTAAAGAGTGCTCTCCCTCATCTGTCTCAATTCTGTGTACATTATGTATCTCCTCTTAATCTCCCCCAATCCCGATGTCAGTCCCATTTTACAACAGTGGCACTATGCAGTATTTATCCTTTTGTGACTGAGATATTTCTCTCAGGATAATGTCCTCCAGGGTCACCCATTTTGTATAATATTTCATAAGTTCCCTGTTTTTCAATGCAGCATAGTATTCCATTGTGTGAATATCTAAAGCTTCTCTATATCCATTCATTTGTTAATGGGCACTTGGGTAGTTCCCAGCTCTTTGCTATTATGAACAAAGCCGTGATAAACATGGGTGTGCATATATATGCTTGGGTGGCAGTTATGGTTTCTTTAGGGTATATTCCCAGTAGTGGAATTGCTGGATCAGATGGCATTTCTATTTGCAACTCTTTGAGAAAGCACCATACTGCCTTCCGTAGTGATTATACCATTTTATACTCCCACCAACAATAAATAAGGGTTCCAGTTTCTCCACAACCTCACCAGCATTTGTTGTTTGCTGTTCTGTTAAATTTTGCTATTCTTACTGTGGTGAGATGGTATCTCACAGTTGTTTTGATTTGCATCTCTCTTAGAGCTAGGGATTGTGAACATTTCTTCATGTGTTTGTTTGCCATCTGAATGTCTTCTTTGATGAAGTGTCTGTTCATATCCTGTGCCCATTTTTCAATTGGGTTGTTTAACTTTGTCTTGTGTGATGCTCGAATATTTTATAAATTCTAGATATAAGTCCCTTATCAGACATGTCATTACCAAATATTTCCCCCCCAGTCTATGATGTTTCTTTTTACCCTGTTGGAGAAGTTTTTGGATGTGCATAGGGTTTTGATTCTTAGAAGATCCCATTCATCTATTTTATCCTCTCCTGGTTGTAGGTTTTTCAGGATTCTTACAAGACTATTTATGTTGTGGATTAGGGCTTCTAGAGTTCTTCCAAGCTTTTTTCTAATGAAATTTATGGTCCTTGGTTTTAGTCCTAGGTCCTTGAGTTGGTTTTTGTATATGGAGTGAGGTGTGATTCTTGCTTGAGTTTTCTGCAGCTAGTTTTCCAATTTTGCCAACACTATTTATTAAAAAGGCTTTCGTTTCCTCACTTAACTGATTTCATCTCCTTGTCAAAAATCAGTTGACCATATGTAGATGATTTCTGGGTTCTCAATTATATTCCATTGATCTATGTGTCTGTCATTGTACCAGTACCACACTGTCTTGACCACCACAGAGTGTAGTAGGATTTGAAATCAGGGAATGGGATCCCTCCTACCTTTCTTCTATTTTCAAGGAGTGCTTTGCTTATGACTGGCTTTTCAGAAGAAGAGCACCAGACATTTTTCAGTATACTTCTGGGAGGACCCTAATCTCCAACCTTTTCTTTAGCAGCTGATTTTTAACCATTTACACCACCCAGGGTTCCTAAGTGGCTAACAACCAAGAATATGATTCCTTCTCTAGGTTTCTAGGCTCCATTTCTTCACATTGACTCAATAAATAGGGCATGAGAACCTGTAAGTGTCATAAGTAATTCTATTAGTTCTCACTAGTTTTAGACCAGTTTCAGACACTGTTTTCTGGAGATTTATTTCCTTATTACAGCTTTTAGAATTAGGCTTAGATCCAGCCTTCAGAAGAGCTACTTTAAATTGTGGTACAATTACTTTATGTGTTGGTGGTTCTAAAACATAGAGTCAGAACTAACTTATAGCTAAGCCTCCAGCAGGTTTTCAGAGGCAGTAAATCGCATAGGAGCACACTGCCAATCTTTGTCCTGAAGAGCAGTTGATAGATTTGAACCATGTTGCCTTTGAGTTTGCATTATAGCTCTTACCATTAAGTTACTGTGTGGTACAAAGGTTTATTGTTAAAAATGGCTTTCCTATTGACTTTTGCCACATGGTTTGGTGGGAACATGCAAAACACATTGTTCAGCAGGCTGGGCTCTATGAGGAGGAATGTGGCATCAGGATTGGAGGAAGACTCATCAACAATCTGAGTTATGCAGATGACACAACCTTTTTGCTGAAAATGAGGGCCTGAATTGTTTGCTGCAGAAGGTCAAAGACTGCAATCTTCAATATGGATTGAATTCAACATTAAGAAGACAAATATTCTCACCATTGGATCAGTTCACAGCACTATGATAGATGGAGAAGAGATTGTTAACAATTCCAGCTTAATAACATTGAACAAAAGGCTAAAGATTGAAGGATCTATGAGCATACATGAGAAGCTGTCCTAATTGCAACCTATTTCCAATCTAGATTATAATTTATTTTTCCTATTTAACCCTATAGTTGTGAGTATAATTCCATGTAGCTATTGCAACAGAATTGCAGAGAGCCTTAGGAGGGTTAGTTGGTGTTGGAATTTCTGAAAGTAGCTTCAAGGAGCATGGAGGCATGTTTGACCCTATTGAACTTAGTTTGGTGTTGTGGATGCTGTGATGGGGACAGGGCTGTTATGTGGAGTTAGTGGAGGTCAGACTTAGCCACACCTACACCACAAGCAAACACCCTTGTTACACTGTTTAAATATATAGTTGTTGTTGATTGCTGTAGAGTCAACTCTTAGCAACCCTATGAAAAAAAGACCTGAAGCCTTTCTATAACTATTGTTTCTCCAAGTTTATAGAGTTTTCAGAGGCATGTGGTTTAGAAAATGGATGCCACTCCTGCTTCCAAACCTGTCTTAAACTGAGAACTCCACCAAACCCTCTTCTACCATGGGCAACCATTATGGCATTTGAGACCCTAATGGCAAAAGAATGGCAAAAGGTTAAGCATCACAGCAAACCCAGGTTACCTCAGTACAGCAAATTGACAGAAGAGTGCTGTACTACTTAGAAGAATGTTCCTCCAAAATATAGTAACAAGGGATTAAAATATAATCCCTCAGGCCCAATTTTTAAATATAAGGGCCCTCCCTCCAGGAGTTCTTGTTGACTCTAAATAAGAGGCTTAAAAAAAACCCAAAAAACAAAACCCCCCAAAAAACCCCCGAAACCAACCAAGCAGTCCACACTGACCCTCAACTAAAACAAGAGATCTCATCTTTACAGAGTCCAGTGGATTCACTCATTCTCTGAAATGGAGACAAGGGCTTGGCCTTAAAGGCAAGTGCTCCCAGGAGGTCTTGTTGACTTTAAACAAGAGACTTAAATAAAAAACAACCAAACATTCCACACAGATCCTCAACCAAAACAAGAGCACTGTCTTACAGAATCCAACAGCTTCACCCAGTCTCCAAAATTGGAGGCAAGGGCCTGGCCTTTAATGCAAATGTCCTCCAGGAGGTCTTGTTGACTCTAAACAAGAGGTTTTAAAAACCTACAAAACACCACACACACACACACACACACACACACACACACAAACATTCCACACCCACTCTCAACCAAAATAAGAGTGCTGCCCCTGTCTTACAGAGTCTAGCCTGTTCACCCAGTCTCCCAAATACACACATGGGCCTAGCCTTCTATGTTGTTATTAAGTTCCATCAAGTAGCAACCCTACGAACAAAGGACCTATATTAAATATATAGAGAACAGCTTTTTCTGGCTGCCTCATGTTTACATGTGAAATTACTAGAAAATTAGTTTTCTGATTCCGCATTCATAGGTACAATTGACAATATTTACCAAGGATTATAAGCAATGTTTGTACTGTGTTCTTAATGAAAATGAAATAGTAAGCATGTGGAATTTTTAATTATTAGATACATATGTGATTTTTGAGAGACATAATTGGATTTAAAATCTAACAGGAGAGCTTAAATAATTGATTTTTTTTGTCGATTACATGAATTGAGATTTTTTTTCATAATAAATAAATTTGTATTTGAACGTTTATTTTCTAAAATGAGACATCTATTAACAAGATTGCTGTTTTTCTTACAGCTTTATTGAGATACATTTAATGCATTATAAAATTCATATACGCTTGTAAAAAGTTGAATTGGCAAAAATGCAGTATAGATATGTTTATAACAACAATAAGAAAGAGTAGC